GAGTGAAGAGATTGCAACTTCTGAGGGACTGGGAAGTGGAGGAAGAGGAGCTGCCTGAAATCAGACAGGAAGTTGAAAGGTGAAATGTGGAGGAGTGTGGCTCATACCAGCAGGGGCTACAAGGCCACTGGGTGAGTAAGGTGTGTACGTGTGCATTCAGCATACCTATGCAGTGGTGACTCAGTGAGGTAAAATATTCTGTGAGCACCTACTATTTCTCAGACGAAATGACACATGAGCAAAGGGTAATTCACATATTGCTCAGATTGTTCCCTGATGTCAATCAGGTAAGAACAAATTCCCATTTTCACAATGAGTATTACAGCAGAACTATTTATTCCCAAGCTACAAACTCATGAAAAGTATTCTGAGTCAGAACTATAGTTAGTACCTATAAAGCCTATGTTAGTCATCAATTTCCTACACACCTTAAGTCTTTACCTAGAAGTAGTCTTTTCCTCTCAGTATTGACCCATCATGCAACTGTCTCTAAAACATTTCTTTTTTTTTTTTAACACCCACCTTTCCTTTTGCTCTTTTTTTATACTTTGAATTTCTCATGTGAGGGAAATCATATAATAGTTAACCAGTGTCTGACTTATTTCACTAGATAAGGTCTCAAGGAACATTGATTTTGCTACAAATGACTCAAATTTATCCTTCTCAATGGCTGAATAGTATTTCATTGTGTGTACCTCCCACACTTTCTTTATCCAGTCATCTCTTTTGGATGGCTACGTCACTTCCAAGATTTAGCTATCATGAGTTATGCTGCTATAAATATAGGTATGCACGTACCACTGTAATATGAAGTGAACTCTTGGGAAAATGCTCAGAAGATGTAGAGCTGGGTCAAATGGAATTTCTATTTTAATTATTATTTAAAGCATTTCTTAACTACAGCTTTGTTTCTTCAAATTCTCCTGCAGGGGTCATGCAATTCAGAAAACCACACCTCTTTTCCTTATACCTGTCCTCAAATGTCCAGAGAAGCAACATGTCTGCTAGTCAGTAACTACCATGCTATCACATCATTCCATTTATTAGGTCAGCAAATATTTATGTATTTAGTTGGTTGGATGGGTTTTTGAGACAGACTTTGCTATGTAGTTCAGGTTGGCCTTGAACTCACAGTAATTCTCTTACCTCAACCTCCCAAGTGCTAGGATTACAAGCACACGCCACCACGCCCAGCCATAATTCACAAAATATTTATATGAAGCATCTACTAGGCAACATAGGAGAAACAAGATAAAACCACCCCCATCCGACCATGTTACAAGAAGGTGATTTAAATAACTTAGTCAACCATTTAAACTCAGCCAACATCATAGGACTAATTATAACATGCATAAAAATGAATATAACCCAAGGTAGAACCCAAAATACCAAAAGAAAATGCAAAAAGTACAAGCTGTTATCTTAAATGCTGGAGAAAAGGATGAGGAGAAATTTAATGGTGGTGCTCAGCAGACCTTATGAATGAAGTAAACTTTGGTTATGAAGGAGAAACGTTTTTGAGGTACCAGGAATAGAACTTAGGACCTTGTGCTTGTCAGGCAGGTGCTTGTGCTGTTGAGCTATGCACCCGGCCCAAGACTTTCTAATTACAGTCTGAGCAAAGAAAAAGAGGAAGGAAATGGAAGCCATAATGGATAAAGAACAAGTTTAGGCCACAGATTACAAATGATGAACTGCAACCACACAATGAATTTTATGACAATTAATAGGAATCCACTAACAACTTCTGGCCAGAAAAATGTGGCGTGAGGTAAGAATGGGCAAAATAGAGCTGGCTTTCAGGAATTCACTTTGAATAAGTGAAAAGAATTTGTTCAGCGTCTTTGACCTGCCAGGCCGGAGCAGCAGGACAATTTTCCTTGACCACAACCCCCAGCTTTGTGTCCAAGATTGATATTCATGGCTCTGTATGGACAGGAACTATAGCATTTGGTCTGGCAAATTATACAAAATAGTGAACTGAACAAAAATGACCTGCACAATGGAGGAAAGTATTTAAAAAAAAAAAAAAAAAAACAGTGAAAAAAGGTAGGGAATACAGCAGAGCATTGTGACCAGAGATTTGAACCTAGCGACTGAGATCATATGCAGAGCAATGTTAAACACTACTATTCTGATTTACATCTAAATATGTTACAAAATGTATTTCTAGTAATCAAGAATACATAGGCAAATATTCTTAAAAAAAAAAAAAACCCTGTTGAACAAACACTGATATGTGATCTAAGGTACACTTAAGAAAATACATTCCACTCTGTTCAGATCTCACATTACCAAGTGCAGAGGGTCAGTGATGCACCAATTGTTTTAAGGGTCTAGAAAATATATGGACAATTAAAAATAACACAAGTTTTTCTAATCAAATTCTCAAATCTAGTTAATATACTCTATAACTAAGATTCTGTATACCATAGACACAAATATATCCAAAATAAGAATTACAGTTTCTTCACCTAGCTGAAAGTTTAATTTTTAAGTGCTTGCATGTCAAACCAAACAACTGAAGACAATACATAAACCTAAACTTTAAAATAAAAAGAAAATTAAAATAATTTTGCATGCTTATATCTGGAAACCTGAACAACTAATTTGAAGACAACAATATGCAATATAACAACCATTGGTGAATTCCTACCACCTTGCTTAGTGAAGCTCTGTATCATTTCTAATTTTTTAATTATTTTTTATTCTCTTTAATGGTTTGATCAATCTTGCACTCTGGTAATCTGAGCAACTTCGTTGAAGATAACAATATGTAATATGACAACCACTGTTAATTCCTATCATTTTGTTCTGAAACCCTGTATCATTTTTATTGTTTTTGTGTTGTTTTGTTTTTGTCTATGTTGTTGTTATTGTGTTATTTTTTTATTCTCTTTAAAGTAAAAAAAAAAATAGTTGTTTAATTAAAAATATCCTATAGGGTAAGTGAGCAAAAGACTATTTGATTATCTACGTCACTACATCCCCTGCCTGACCTTTTTTTACAGCTCAACTAACAATAATTTAAAAGTCTAAAATATAATGAGCTGACTTTTTTTTTTTGTGAAACAGGGTCTTGCTACGTAGCGCAGTCTGGCTTTGAGTTCACTATGCAGCCCAGGCAGACCTCAAACTCCAATGATCCTGCTGCCTCAGTTTCCCAAGTACTGGGATTACAGGTGTGCATACCATGCCCGGCATGTGCTGACTTTTTAAAAGCCTGCAGGCAGCTCCCTGTGCTAAACTCACACACTTTGATGAATTAGTGACAAATGATGTCACCGTAAAATAAACTAAAAAGCAGCTTCTCTATACAATTTATTTCAGAATTATTTACACAGAAATGAGACTAAACAGCTTATCCTCTTTCTTGACATTTCTTCTTATATACAATTTACTTACAGTAAACTGAAGAAACTGTTTCCAAATCTAGCTGCCGAAAAACTGAAACCTCTTCTAAACCATTCCAGGTACAGGATATACAAAGATATCCTCCTAAAAGTGAGCACATCTAGGTCAAAGAACAAAATATTTCACATTCCATTCTTAGAAACTCTATGGAGTTTATAATCCATATGACGCTGACAGTTACCTTGGATTCTGGGTAGTAAAGCTGACCAAAGCTTTATAACCAGGGTAAGAATAAATCGGGCTATAAACATTTCAAGGAAACTCACCTATTTATACTACCAAAAGATGGATATGATGTTCCTGTGGATAAAGTGTATATGACTTGATAATGCTTCTCATGGTATAGAAGTGTCTTTAGAAATAACACACAAAGGGGCTGGGGATTTAGCTCAGCAGCACAGCACCTGCCTGGCAAGTGCAAGGTCATGAGTTCGATTCCCGGTACCAGAAGAAAAAACAAAAAAAAAAAGAAAACAAAAACAAAAAAAAAAGAAAAAAAAGAAATAATACACAATACAAAAATATCAACACATCTAAGAATGTATTGTAAAAAAGGACCCCTTAGCCATAGCCATGGTACTTAAAATTGCATAACACACTACATTTTCCAGCACTAAAACAGAGACTTAACCAGTTATTTACCTTTGCTCTCTGTCTAGCATATTCAGAAACAATGTTATCTGCTAAGGTTTATCTATCTTAGCCTTACACGCAATTACTAGAAACAGAACAATAAAAGGTTGCTTCTGAATAAGATGAAATATAACAAATAAACCAGTAAAAGCCACAAAAGTAAAAGAAATACAGAGATCTCCATATATTAAGAATCATATGTGTTTGTCATAAAACTCAAATTTGATATTTAAAGCACCATAATTATAAACTTGGATTTCCTTTTGAACAGTTGGTTCAAAAGGAAAAAGCTTCCATTAATTGACCAAATTTTTGCAAGTTCCATTAATATTCATGGATTTAAAAAAAAAAAAAAACTTTAAATACACACATTCAACTACCTTTTAGGTCCCAAGTAAAATGTTTACACAGAAATTTGGCAGGGTTAAGTCTGTGGACTTAAAGCCAATAACAACCTAAGACGGCTAAACTTGGTTAATAAGCAAATTTTCATAGTACAACTAACACTGTGTAAATAATCCAAAGCAGTTAGCATTTACAAGATGATCATAGTATTTTATATATAAGATTAACTACAAAGTAACTATCAGAAAACTTGACATTATGTCTCTGCATTCCCTACTGTTAAGAGGCAACAGACCTCTTCTTAGTAGATGCCGCAGAGAGAGTATTCTTTTAACCACCACGACCCAGAGGAAGGAAATCCTTTAAAACCCATCTCTGTAAGCAAGAAGACAGGAGACAGGATGCTGTGAAGACTGGGGTACAGCCAATTTCACTAAGTTCAGATTCCATGTGGAATATCAAAAAATAATTTTTTAGAAAGTGTCAAAGGACTTACTTGGACAAAAAGTGCTACAATGTTTCAAAATCTACAAACACCTTCTCTAACACTTATGCCTTTGACAGCTCTCCTCAGCAAAGAAAATATTCACAAACTCAAACTTACCTACCCACACAGTTCAGGCCAAACTGCTCTATGAGATCCTCAGGCAATAGTGAGATGGAATTCTTCTGGGCTCGGGGATGTGCTAAGTGACCTTTGGCACCTCCAAAGAGGGGGCGGGACTCTAAGCTTAGGTTTCGGTATTGTACTATACTGAACAGTTTCTCCTTTGCTTTCTCCAGGGCGTTAACTAAGACTTCCTCTTCTTCTTAAGTAAGTAAACACAGCTACTACTAAGAACTTCCAACTCTTGCCTAAGGTGCTGAGTTTAAAATGGTATAAATAACAATGGCCAGCATTGATTGAGAATTTACTGTGTGCTCTAGAATTAACAATAGTTACCATGATTACTTCCCTGTTAAAAGAGACAGAATCTGAGGGACACTGTGTTAACAGGTAACTTGAAGGAATCCTGGGCGAGGCAATACAGTCAAATGAACTAATGAGGTCTTTGCACCACAAACACTTGGACATGAGGAAAATAAGTGTAACAATATTAAATACACAGCTTCAATCCCCTGGCACAAACTAGAGCTAGATCCAATGGCCAACTTGGGAAATAAAAGCACTGACAGCTATGGCCATGACAGATGCTCATGTAACCCTGAAAGTCTACATTCAAATTGAAATCCTGGCCTTGCAGGCAGACGTGATCAGAAGAAAATGCTTGCTCAACACAGAAGAAATATGTTAGATTTCTGGGCCTTGATTCCAGCAAGCAGGAAACAAGTTACACAACTGTACACAGCTGTCCAGTTGCCTCTGTAAGGACAGACGAAGAGGGATTGGGCACACTCATACATGGGCATGAAGTTGGTACTAAGGTTCTCCCATAAAACCACAGTGATCTTTTTCTTTTACTTTTGTTTTGTTTTGTTTTATGTTTTTTTGAGACTGGGTTCACTAAGTAATGCAGGCTGGCCTTGAATTCACTTATGTAGCCCAAGCTGGCCTCAAACTCTTGGTGATCCTCCTGCCTTAGCCTGCTGAGTGCTGGGATTACAGGCATGCGCCATTTAGCCCAGCTACAGGCTTCTTTAAAGTGCTGTGATCAGTTAAATAGTCGTGGGGGTATACAACAAATTCACCTATTGTCTTAGTTATATGTCAAGGGAGCTTGTCTCTAAGAATATGGGGGAGAACACAGAGGAATGCTATAATCAAAAATTAAAATCATAAACCTGTGACACACTGCTTTAAAATTAGACTCTTATTTGTATGAGGTTATCCAAGCTAAGAAATTAAGAATCTCCAAGCTAAGAAACTAGGTTAGTGATATCCCTGGCATTTCCAGAAGAGGCAAACATAAAATCACTTTAAAATAACACCACATAAATATGGCCAAATCTGCCCATAGAAAAACAGAATTAAAACCCAAACAAAAACAAACAAATCAAACAAAGACTGAAGACGAACTTCTAATTTATAAAATATGTGAGAAAATAATGCACCCAATATTAACCTTTAACAGATATAACAAACAGAAAATTTAGTGTTCACCTACTCTTATTACAAAAACTTAAAAATTAAAGTACATTTAAATTATTAAGAATATGAAGGGGGAAATAATATGAACAAAAGACATCTATGAAAACTAGATGACTGGAAAACTAGGTAGGGAAATTTGAAACTAGTATTGGTGTATTAACTGTACCTTAATTTATTATTAGAGAACTGTTTTTAGAAAAACCAGTAAACTTAGCTCCATAAAGATAGACACATTTCCCTACGTACAGCACCCAGCGTTTCCATTAGTTTTCTGTAATTTAAAAAGAGAATAACAATACTGTACATAGAGCTTTTATAACTGACTTAGAGAGGCTGGGGGTATAGCTCAGCGGCACAAGCGCCTGCCTGGCAAGCTCGAGGTCCTGAGTTTGATTCCCCATACAAAAAAAAAAAACCTGATTTAGAATCAAAATCAATGTCACAACTCCATTTGCTGAGCAGTACCCGCTGCACTCCACCACCTGTCAAGCTCCTGACCACTCTCTTCTCTGATGCTGATCATTCCTGCAAGTCCTCACCTGTCTCCCAGGCTACTCTGTACCACCTGCAGCCTTGTGGAAAAGGTGGAGTGGAAACTGACACGCCACCTAGATCCCCTCTCAGGACCGAGGGATACTCCCCAGCTGCGGAAGGGCTGCCAGCCGACGCCCTCAGCAGTCAGCTCTCTTGACAATGGCCTCCGCTGAAGAACTTCATCACCCAACATCACACCATCTGCCCAGGGACGGGGGTCTGTCAACCATCTGAAGACTTGCTAACACGTGGAAGGTCTCGTTCCCGTTTCCAACTGGGGACAATGGTGAAGAGCCATCCAAGATTTAGGTCTCTCCACCAGAACAGATCTTACTTGAGACTCCATGGCAATCCCACCTTGTGCAATCCTAGTTTGTCCCCTGCTTTCCACAGAGACTGACTCCAAGAGCACTTCCTAATAAACTTCCTGCATGCTAATACGGATTTCAAAGCTGGCTTCCTGGGAAACTCAACTCTGACTGAGAGCATCTGGAAAAAACGGCAGGGTATAGCTACGCAAAGGAGTGACAAGAGTAGAATTTTGGAGTATTGAAACCAATAGGGAGAACAGCAGAAAGTACTGACACAATCTCTTCGGTGAGGAGATCAATATAGTATTAAAAGTATAGAAGGAAAAACCTTCAAAATGAATGGGATTACCACAATAAACAACAGAATCACAAAACTCTACCTCCACATTTCAAAGTATCATTTTACTTGACATCTCAAAGCGATCTGAGTGGGTGTGTCACCATTCCAACTCCTGTCATTTTTTCGGTAATATCTCACAGGCTCATGGATTTGTCAAATACTACCCATACCAAAAAAAAAAAATCGTTGCTGCCTCAAAAAAGACAGTTCTTAATAACAAATTAACAAGTACACTTAATACACTGCTCCTAAAGTGAGAAAATGCTGTTTTACTTTTTGCTTCTGAATCTTTGATTAAAAACACTGATGAAGTTTTATGAAAGGCTAATCTGGTTCAGAATCTGATGAGAATACTAGTAACAACTTGGGAGTTATATGCACACTCAGAATGCCACGGAATGGTACAGGGCAAATCTTAGCAAGGCTCATGGATATTTGTTGATTCTCTTACTTTTATAAGGTAGGGCAGTTGGTCAGAAGTCACCATATGAATCATTATACCTTAGAGATGTGGAAGATTTAGTTACCGCACATTTGGAGGAGGCTGGGAACATCTCTAATGTAACCATGCCCTACATCCTATACTTAGCAGCCACACACAGAGAGGCGGACAAAAGAGGCTATAACATAACCTGCAAATAAGATCAGCAGGCCCAAAATGGCAGAAGGTGACACCAAAAGTGTTAGGACAGCGGAGCAGAAGGGATCAACAATGCCGTCCACTCCTACTGGAAGTACCCACAGACCCTGCTCAGTTCCCGTATGCTCGGCCCCCACTCATAACCTGGGTTTCACTTCTTCCTCTCCTAAGATTCACTAACTGCTTTGTCTTCTCAAAAGCAATCTTCTTGTCCCTCTAACTTTTAAAGCTTTTTGATGGTAGTATGAAATTAATGTACTTGTGAGAGAATCTAAAAGAGGTTTCTAGGGAAAAGCCTAGCTATATATTGGCAAATTTCAATTATATACAAGCTACCTAAATTCACACAGGTAGACTGATCAATCAAATGGTTGACCAATCAAATGTTTTAACAATTTATCTGGGGAAGGGAGGAGTGTGGTATAAGTTGTATATGAGGAGAAGCATATCTAAGTACTTATATGTTCTAGGCATGCAAAAGGACAAACATGCATGGCACGTAACTAAGAGGAAGAAGAATTTTGTTCCTAGTTTAAAAAAAAAAGGTTAAATAAGTCACTATGGGTTTGAAGCTATTCTTTTGTCACAAACCCTCTGGTTTAAAGGCAAAATAGATAGATAGATAGATAGATACACATACAAATTTTATTGGATATAAAATGTACTCTAAGTAAATATAAATAGCAGGACTAATATAATTCATTCTTCTCACAACCTATTTAGAAGAGTGAAATTATAATTAAATTCGAGTCTATAGATAGCATAAGTCTTCTTTAAATTAGAAAAATACTGACTTGAAAGAGATAAACCAAAATTATATGACAAGTATACAGAAGTGGACAAAATGGTAGTTCTGCTGAAACTGGCCACATTTAGGAATCTACTAAGAGAAAGCACATACAAACTTATTCGACTTAAAGATTTTAAATGTCATCTTTAATCTGAAAAGTTACAAGAATATAAGATCTTATTTGGCAATTTCAATCAAAAGTCCAATGCGCTTTTGAAAAAACAGTTGAAACAAAAGAAAAGCAGTGTTCTGTCACTGCCATTCATGTTCTATCACCAAAGGCAAGCTGTGAGGTGTGAAGAATTCAGCACTAGGTTCTGCTACTTAACCGCCCCGTAACCTTGGGTGAGGTAGGCGACCTCTCCTACCTCCACTGCCTTACCTGCAAAAGGAAACCGGTTTGTAAGCTCTCATTCAGACCTAACACTCTAGACTCTTTTCCAACTTCAAATTTCAAAAAAGACAATCTACTTAGATTTTGGCTAAAACATAATCATTTCCAGTTTTACTGTTTTCAGCACCAAGTGCTAAATTTTCAGAAAAATAAAATAACCAAATAGCAAAACTAATGATGAATAAGGAAAAATTATTAGTTACACAAGGACATCCGTAAATTCACAAATGATCAAATAACACTTTTACTGAACCTCTTGTTTCTGCTGAAAATACCCATTTAAACAGACTCTGCTGAAATACAACATGTACAAAGAATTTTTGACAGGCAGGGAAGATAAAAGCTTTCAGCAAGGCAGTACCAATATTTCCCACCATTCTAGAGCTATCACTTAAACTTTCCTCATTTCACCTGACACAGATGTGGTAGCACTCCACATAATTAGCGTAGTGAATGCACATCAAAAAGGCTGACAGAATGTGCCTTGGAAAATAGCATTTTTAAACTTATAATGTCATCCCACAGAGCCTAACCTTTCCACAAAATGTTTAAACCTAAGGCAAAAGCGCTTCTTAAATCCACAAGCACCCTTGAT